GGGGAGAAAGAGGGCAAAATGAAGTTCAGAAAAAAACATTAAAAAGAAAACAAAGAAAAAATATAAAAAAGATAAAAATATACATATATATTAGACTGGTGGCTAGAACAGGTCACCTGCTTAATTTTGGGAGTATTTTGGTCTCTTAGTAGAAACTTCCTCCCAAAATTTTAAAGAATGAAAAACATATATAATGGTAAACACAATGAAGGGATGTAATATGACTATAAAGATGAAAAAATTTTTTTTTATTTCTAACAAAGGAGTTGATAAAGCAAGTTAGTTGGGAGAATAAAGACAAAGAAAGTACAGAGAATTTTCTCGGGCTGGAGACTAGATCAAGCCCAGTGCTAGATTTAGGGTATATTTTGATCTATTAAAAGAAGTTGTACCCCAAATTTTTTGGAAGAAAAACCCTATGTGTATACAAAAAACAAAGTTAGATACAATGAAGGATATAATATGACTATAATAAAAGTTCAAAAAAGATTTTTTTTAAGAAAGGTATTAAGATAAACTACTTAAAAACTATAAAAGAGGAAAGGGTAAAAGTTAAAAAAAATAGAAGAAAAAAATTAAAAACAATTAACTTTGCAAGACTAAAGATTCATGGGGAGAAAGCCATGAATGCATGGTTTGCTTTCTCCTCCTCTGGAATTCTACTGTTCTCCTTGGTAAGTGAACTTGGGTTGGCTGGATTTCTTGTTGATCTTCTGGGGAAGGGGCCTGTTGTAGTGATTCTCAAGTGTCCTTGCTCCAGCACACCCTTACCAGGGGCCAGGCTAAGTAATCCGCTGGGGTTCGCTTTCAGGAGCTTTTTTTCCCTGAATGCTTTCCGTAGAGTTCTGGAGGACGAGAATGAAAATGGTGGCCTCCCAATCTCTGGCCTGAAGGAGCCAAGAGCTCAGGGCCCCACTCTTCAGTGTGCCCTCAGAATAACGCATTCAATCTCTCCCGTCTCCCTGGCCTCTGGCTGTGCTCTGAGATCACCCAGCCTGTGACCAAGTGTCTCTGTCTCTGACACACAGCTCTGCCCGGAGTTTCTGAACCTCACAGATCCCTGAGCTTTTCCAGGTCAGGGTCTCCCCGGATCTTGTGGGGACCCCACTCAGAGCACCGGCCTGTGCCACAGATTATGGTTCAAGGTAACCCTGAGTTGAGAGCTCACTCCTCAGCTCTGTCTCTGTAGCCAGCTTCCCCGGCTTCCCCGCTCTAATACTTGTAAGCTCTGTGACACTCAGACACCCCCGATCTTTCTGTGACCCCACGGGACCTGAGGCCATGCTTTCCCTGCATGGGCTTACACCCCAGTATAGCCTCTGGAGTGATGTCCCTCAGTGAAGCAGACTTTTAAAAGTCCTGATTTTGTGCTCCGTTTCTCTGCCACTTGCAGGGAGCCAGACCCTCCCCCTGTGGTCTATCTTCCCGTCACTTTGGATTCACTTCTCTGCCAGTCCTACCTTTCAGAAAGTGGTCAATTTTCTGTTTCTAGAATTGTTGCTTTTCTTCTCTTTGATCTCCTGTTGGATTTGTAGGTGTTTGGAATGGTTTGAGCTATCTAGCTGATCTCCTGCTACCTGATGTCGTGTCAGCCTGCTACTTCTCTGCCATCTTGACTCCTCCCCTCTAACTAATAAAAATCTTAAAAAATGTTCATTCACACTGTGATAAGGCAAATGCAAAATAAGATAACAAGATATAATTTTTACCCATCACACTTGTAAAATTAAAATTAAATAACGGTAACAACTGATATTATCCAGTGTGGAAAAGAGTGTGAAATTAGTGTCATGTAGATTATTCATGGGAGCATAAGGTAGTCTAGCTACTTTTGAAGAAAAAAAATAAATATTGTCAACATCTACCTCAGAAATTTCACTTTCAGTTCTCTATCCCTTATAAATAATAAATGTCTAAAAAACAATGAACAAAATTTAAAATGCAATACTGTTTACTACAGCACTATTTGTAAGAATAATAAAATAATAGATGATGTACATGTTGTCAAGAGAGTACTTCATTATAGCATACCATGTTTTAAATGCTAATTCTTTTATCTCAGAAAAATAATTTCTTTTTACTCAATTTAATAGTATAAAAAAGGGAGTCACCTGAATGCATAAATAGCCCTTTTATCATTCTATTTTTATCATTAAGAGCACAACCTGCACCCATATTTCCACAGTTAGTACAGATGATAAGAAATGTGTTATATACAATAAGTTGGACAGAAATGTACTCTAGATGGGCAGACATTCAGGAAATTTAAGTGAGGGTCAATGACCTAGCAATAAACTCAAAGTGAAATGATCCTTCCTCCAGCCCTGTGCAAAGGGTAGAGCCCCACAAGAGTTATAGGGATAGAGAAGTTAACAGGGTTACTACAGCAGCCTAACCATCTACATAGGACGATTTGCCATCCCAAGGAAAATCTCTACAGATCCTAATGCCCATCGCATGGAATCTTAAATTCTACCTTTGAAATTTTTTTCCTGAAGACTTTTATTAAAAAACATACAAACAAACAACAACCAAAAAAAACTAGTATGTCAAGGAAAATTAACTTAGGTCTTGATGGTGAATGTAAAAATAAAGAGGGGAAGAAAATACTGATTGATGGAAGGCAGAGATGCATCAGGTTGAAGTTAAATGCCCCAGACGAGGTGACTTCATGTTCCAAAATACCTTGGCTACTTCATCATGGTCTTAAAGTTGAAACTTACTGAAGAATATATATTCAGTATCAGCTAAGGAGAAAATAACTTCTAATGAATCAATCTCTCTCTTCCTAGAGAGACATATTTCCTCTGAAATGTGAAGATTCTTGCATTTTGTGTGAAGTATCTCATTCACTTCCAAAGTTACTAATGCCCCTTGTTTAATTTCTTTGATCAAGGAGCCAGGTCAAATAGATAAAAACCAGAGGTGGTGAGAAACTTTGTCCTGGCAGGCTTCTCAGAGACCCCATCTATTGAGGGAATGTTATTTGGACTATGTCTTTTCTTCTATGTGTCCAACTTGAGTAGGCAATGTCATCATGGTCATAGTGGCCTCTGATAACTATATTAATTCATCATCCATGCATTTCCTTCTTGGCAACCTCTCTTTCCTGGACTTATTATTATTATAGTTATTCAACAGTACTACCCCTAAGCTTCTGGCTGACTTTCTTGATAAAGATAAACTCATTCACTATGACCAATGCATTGTGCACTTCTTCTTTCCGCATTTTGAAGGTCAGCTGAGATATTCTTACTCACAGTGATCACCATGTTGCAAGTTGTAAGTTGTAACCACCTGCACTGTACCATTATCATGAGTTGAGAATTATGTTGTGTGTTGGTGGCTGCCTAATGAATGCGAGGGTTTGTGCACTCTGTCCAGATGATTCTCACTATCCATCTGCCTTTTTGTGGACCAAACCAGGTGGACAACTTCTTCTGTGATGTTCCCCCTGTCATCAACATGCTTGTGCAGACACATTTGTCATTGAATTGTTAATAGTATCTAACAGTGGGCTGAGCTCTACTGGCTCCTTTGTGGTGCTGGTTTCTTCTTACTCCACTATCCTGGTCAAGATTCTCTCCAAGGAGGGAAGATGAAAGGCACTCTCCACCTGTGGCTCCCACCTCATAGGAGTAGCACTCTTCTTTGGACCCTGTATTTTATCTATGTTCATCCCTTCTCCACATTTTTTCTGTGGATAAGATGGTGTACGTTATCTAATATTATCACCCCCATGCCATATCCTCTCATCTATAGAGTTCAGAACAAAGAGGTCAAGTCAGCCATGTGGAAACTGTGGGATAGGAGTGGACTTACTTGGAAAAAGCAGGAGACATAAGAAGTTGAAGTGATTTTTTGACAGCAGAGAATCTGAGGTTAAAATAATTACTTTTCCACTAATGAGTTAGGAGAGGATAGCCTAATTGTTCGTTTTTTTTTTCCCATTAAATCCTAATAGTCCTATTAATGGCACTATAATGAAACTCAGAAAAACTCCTATCATACTGAATTATTCTGTCTTCTGCCTCCTTTTTCTTCTCTGAAGCATCTGTCTGCTGTTTCTCCATAAATTGTGTTCTTTCATTCTACCCATTGATCTGATCAAACCTTATTGCATCCATTCTTTTTATTTAGTTTGACAACACACACTGGCATAAACACACCTTTCCAAACTCTTACCACTTTCTTCTCCACCTTGTCTCTGGTTTTACTGTCTTCTCAACTTTTATATTCTAACTAGATATCTGCAATGAACTGAATTAGGAATGTATATGTGTTTATTACTCTCACAAAATATTTAGAGCGTTATCAGTTAGATGAATTAGAGTGAATCCAATTTATGTAACTTCTAACAACAAACTAATGGGATATATTAGTTGGCTTCATCACTTCATCATACCACTACCATCTAGTAGTACAATTCAGACGGCAATTGCCTAATAGTGTGGGTTCAACTATTTTTGAATTACAAATCAAGTGAATCTTAGACAAGTCATTTAAATTATTGTAGCCCTACTTTCCTCAGCTATAGCATACATAGAATGATGCTTACCTCTCAGTGACTTGGTGAGAGCTAAAAATGGCAAGAGATGGGAATATGTTTAGTTTAGTGCTTATTCATTAGATTTTTCAATGACAGAAAGATACATATGGTGAAAATTTAAACTGGTTTATTACCCTTAATGAAATAACAGTATGATCTACCATAACCAGTTCCAGGAAAATGCTAGAAAGTGTACAGCAATGAGCCAAGACATGTCCATCTTTATCCATTTGGGGCACACCCTATATTATTATCAACATTATCATAAAAAAAAACCCTCACTGGCATTTGTTATCCTCAGTATTAAGACTAGTTCACAGGTTTATGTACTCCTTACTAAAATTTTATAATCAAAGACAGGTAAATTGAATTGTCATAGAAGTTAAGAACTGAACACGAAATACAAATGGATAATAAAGCATTTTTTAAGAGAAAAAAAAGCACAGTCATTTATTATTTGTGACTCTGAGAAGGTCATTAGTCATTAATTTAAAAAATACTACAACTTGACACTTCATAGGGACTAGAAACATAATTCAAAATTTCATAAAGGTATATTAAATTAAAACCACTCTAGATAATTCAAGATCTCACTGACAGAGTTCATTTAAGGTGACAGTTTTACTATTGTTACTATTATTTTTTACTATTATTACTATTGTTATTATTACTATTACTATTGTTACTATTGTTACTGTTCCCACATGATATCATCTCTTCTCAATTTCATTTGAAGATTATGGACTTGTACTGGATGAAAGTTGCTGTTCTTCTGAAGAGAGTTAGTTAGCAAACATCTTCTGGGACTATTTTTTATGGTCTTTGATCCTTTAAGGTTGTTCTCTTCTCGCTGAATCTTTGAAGCTTCACTCGTCTTTGAGTTTTGAAATTTTTGCTGCAGTTTACGGACATTGTCTTGATGCTTCAACAGTTTGGAAATCTGTTCTTCTTTAATTTCCATTTTCTTGGCTAAATGCTCTAATTCACATTCAGTGTCTTCACAGACCGAATGACTTTCAGTGTCCTTCATTTGATTCAGTAGTTCTTCATGCTCCATACTCATTTGGTCCAGCTCATCCTGCATTGCCATCAAAAGTTCAGACAAACTGTCACCAATAGAAATGGTAATTTTTGAATCAGAAGGTTCAGCTTTACCCTGGGAAGTTGTTCTAAGAGGCTTGTAGAGACATGGAGGCTCAGTAACTTCAGGAAGTTTCTGACAGGTATGTGGCCCATAATGTTGCATCAATTGCAGGATGCTTTGCATACTTGAATTCACAAAACAGCTCGCACTGGCAGACTCCTCAGCCACAATAGGCAGTGATCCAAACTTTGAATAAGTTTGCTGAGGTGGTCCTCCCTTTAAACATTTAGTTTTCTTCAAAGACTTCTTCTTTTCCTTAGAGTGTTTTGGAGTTGATACTGAAGACATTAAAATTCTGTTGATTTCAAGTCCAGTTTGAAGTTCAGATGCTTTGTCTTGAAACAGCTTACGCTGATGTTCTTCTTCCTTAAGTTTTTCCTCTAAATGTTTAATCTTGTCCTCAGCAGTTTTCTGAGTGGTTGTAAATTTAAAACATTCTTTTTCTAAGACATCAAGCTTTTCAAGTTTTGCTTGCTGCTTCCTATGATCTTGTTCTTTTTCCCTTTGAAGCTGGGCCTGTTGTTCTAGGATCATATTCTTCTCTCGTTCTACATTGAGAACCATTCTCTTTGTATATTCTAATTGTTTCTCTAGAAGAGTACAGCGAGACTGAGCTGAGCTTAACTGTAGAGTAATATCTTTTTTCTGTTTTATCAGTTCCTGGTGTGCCAGAATTCTTTCATTTGTTTCTTTCTCCAAGGCCTTTTTATACTGTGCTGCTTCTCTGGATAGAATGTTTAGGTTATCCTCAGCCTGTGTTCTCTCCAACTCTAAATGATGAATCTTTTCCTGAAGAGTTTTTAAGGCTAAAATAAGAGCTTGGCTCTTTGGACTATGAAGCATTTTAGGAAAGGTGGCTTCTATGTTTGTGGAGTGGTGAGTCTGAGATGCTGCATCATTCTGGGTAAATGATGGAATAAACACTCGGTTTATGATAGCTTCCTACTATACTGTGCATTAATTCAGAATCCATTATCATGTCTCCATCCCTCCGGGTTGTTGCTGCTCAGATACTGTGTGCTCCCCATGGGAGACTGCATCTATCTAAGTTGCCGTTCCATCTCATTTTTAGGGGTCTTATGTCTCCTATATCAATAGAAACTCAGGGAGGGCAATTATGTTTATTTCTTTTGTAAGTTCCTGCAGTCCAAACTGCTGTGTTCTGCAAAGGGGCATTGTATCCTCAGGGCCAAATCGACACTCTCAACCTCCATCCGCGTTAACTGTTGGCTCGAAGGCCGTTACCGATAATAAAGCATTTTTAACAAACTTTGATTTTTAAAGTTTTTTAAACACTTATTTATTTATTTGGAGAGAGAGAGAGTACACAAGTGAGCACAAGTGGGAGGGGCAGAGGGAGTAGGAGAGAGAATCCCAAGCAGAAGCAGATTCCACACTTGGCATGGAACCTGCTGTGGTGCTCAATCTCAGGACCCTGACATCACCATCTGAGCAGAGACCAAGAGTCAGACTATGCCACCCAGGTTCTCCTATTTTTACTGTTTTTAAAGTAAGGGAATCACAGAAGCAATTTCAGCAACTAATTTGTGGGACAGAGACAAAAGCCAAAATTGTTAGGTAATTTCATTGAAGACTTCAGTTTTGTCTTTATTATCGCTCTGTTCCCAAAGCTTTTTAAAACACCTAAAATAAAAAAGACTCAACAAAAATATGTTTGGTAAATGAAGGAGGTTTTTATATGTTCATTGATCAATTTGGTAAGGATTAAGGAGGAGTTAATTCAGAGAGGTTTTCTTTTCCCTCACTTGGAAAGATAACTTGTAAGTTTTTCATTGAGAAATAGGAAACACTTTGAGAGTTGTCACAGAAGCAATATTTAATAAAAAAAAATAGACACATCAAAACACCTATGCATATATAACATTGTCAGAGAAGTCAGATATCAAAATTAAAAAGGTAATTAAGTAATCAAATTCACAACACAAGCAACTATAAATCATGTGATTTCATATATCAATACTGACTATGGGATCAGCAAAGTCAGAATTTTAATTCTTAGTACTTTAATAACAGTATTACCAACAAAGGAGGTATTTGAAGTTCAAAATTCAGCAAAATTGAGGCAATCATAATGACACAATCCAGTTTAGTTTTCACTGGAGATTAATACAGAGTGTCTCTCTAGTACTGCTAGAAATTTTCCACTAATCAATGATACATGGAAAAAGGAATGTTTGGGAATTTAAAAAAACTATTCAATATTTTGTGATAGGAGAAGATAAAAATTAAGATAAAATCAGAGTTTTCAGAAAATATAAACAGACATAACTGTAAATCCTATAGGATAAGTGAAAATATGTATCTAGGATAAAGCTTTCTAGAAATTCAAGAAAACAGACATATTTCAAAAATATTGCTTCTGTATATTTAAACAAATACTCAAATTGTTCACCATACTAGCAATTTTAAATTGCTTCTTTTCTTATCCTTTTCAAAGGCCACTTTCATTTCATATCCAATGATACATTTAAATCTTCAAACCTAGTATATAATGCTTTTATTCAAATAAAATATGAAACCTCTGATTTTAAACAAAAATTCTTACCCAGTAGTGGAATTACTAGGCCACATGGTAGTTCTATTTTTAATTTTTAGAGGGAACTCCACACTGTTCTCTCCAGTTACTACACAATCTGCATTCCCACCAACAGGGCATGAGGGTTCCTTTTTGTCTACATCTTCATCAACATAGGTTATTTCTTGTCTTTTGATTTTAGCCATTATGACAGAAGTGAATTGATATCTCAACAGGTGTGAATTTATATCTCATTGTTGTTTTGATCTGCATTTCCTTGATGAGTGATTTTGAGCATTTTTTCATGTGGCTCCTGGCCATCGTATGTATTCTTTGGGAAAAAATGACCCTCTGCCCATTTTTAATGGCATTATTTTTGGTTTTTTTGGTGTTGGATTTTACAAGTTCTTTATATATTTTGTATATTAACCCCTTATCAGATATATCATTCAGAAATATCTTCTCCCATTGAATAGCTTGCCTTTTTGCTTTGTTGGTGGTTTCCTTCATTGTACAAAAACTTTTTGTTTTGATGTAGTCCTAACACTTTAATTTTGCCTTTGTTTCCTTTGCCTTTGGAGACATATCTAGAAAAATTTGCTATTGCCAATGTCAAGGAAATTACTGCCTTTGTTCTCTTCTGAGATTTTTATGGTTTCAGGTCTCACATTTAGGTCTTTAATCTGTTCTGAGTTTATTTTTGTGTATGGTGTGAGAAAGTGGTCCAATATCATTCTTTTGCATGAAGATGTTCGGTTTTCCCAGTACCACTGGTTGTAAAAATATTCTTTTTCCCATTGTATATTCTTGCCTCCTTTGTCCTAGATCAATTGACCATAAATGTTGGGTTTATTTCTGGACTCCTCTATTCCATTGATTTATGTGTCTATTTTTGTGCAAGTCCTATACCGTTTTGATTACTAAACCTTTGTGGTATATCCTGAAATCTGGGATTGTGAAATATCCAGCTTTGCTCTTGTCTCTCAAAATTTCTTTGGTGATTCAGGGTCTTTTCAGGTTATTCAAAGAAAACAAAAAGACATAGTTGAAAATATACATATACCCACATACCTATTGTAGCACTATTTACAGTGCCCAAGATAAAGAAACAACCTAACCATGTCCATCCATTGATGAATGGATAAAGAAGATGTGGTGTGTATGTGTGTGTGTGTTTGTATATATTATTCAGCCATAAAAGAGAATGAGATCTTGACATTTGCAACAACATGGATGGATCTAGGGCGTATAATGCTAAGTGAAGTGAGTAAGACAAAGACCACTACCTCATTTCACTCATAAGTGGGATTTAAAAAACAAAACAAAGAAAAAAAAAGAACAGACAAAAAACCAGGCTCTTAAATACAGAAAACAGGTGGTTGCTAGAGGGAAGATGGGTGGGGAAATCAGTAAAATAGATAAAGGGGATTAAAGGTACACTTATACTGATGAGCACTGAGTAATGCATATAATTACAGAATTATACTGTAAACCTCAAACCAATACAACACTGAATGTTAAGTATACTTCCATCATAAAAATAATTCTAAACCATGTTGACAGTATTGTTCAGCTTATAATAAAAATCATAAATGATTCCTAGAATTTCATTCTCTTAACACAAGTATTTATTCCTCATTCCTACCAAACTATAGATATGGGTACAGATCAGCAGCTGGTCTCTGCTCCACCTCTACTTGGGACTCTTATTAACATTAGGGTAGGGAAATGTTATGTGGTGAATCTCCACTTACTACAATGAGCTCTTCAATTATACCAATAAGTTCAATTATTTGAATAAAATTTCCTGAACACCATAACTATTCAAGGTGGTAAGTTTAGATTAAAAATATTAAATCTATTCTTAAAATCATTCCCAAAAAGAAAATTCACATTAGTGAATTCTTCAAACATATTAGGAGGAAACTCTACCTGTGAAAAATGGAAAACAAATTTTAAGTCTTTTTATGCCATCAGCTTGTCTTTAATTCCAAAACATGACAATGAGGTTATAACAAAATTAATTTCACCTATGAACATGAAAGTTATAATCCTTACTAAAATATTAGCAAAGTGAATCTAACCTGTATTATTCTAGATATGAAAGGCTGGTTTGATATTCAAACATCAATTCACATAATAGACCATGTTTATATACTGATAGATATAGTAAAACATTTGATAAAATTCAACACTAATTCATTAAAAAAATTGTAAACTGCCAGCAACCTAGAATCTTATACTAGGAAATACTTAATCTGATAGAGTATTCACACAAATAACTAAACTAAATAAAATAGATATTGTGCTCACCTTGATAAAGGGAAATACATAAGAATGCTGGGTATTATCACTTTAACAACACTGTTTTGGAGGACCAGATGGTATAATGAGGCAACAAAAAGAAATAAAATGGAATAGAATTGGAAGGGGAAAAAACTATTCACAGATGATACAATGTATACATATGGGAAATTCAAAAGAATCTACAGAAGCTCAATAAAGAAGTTTAACACAATTACTGGATAAGAAGTCAATATTTTATTGTAAAATCAATTATAGACTCCCAGATCTGAAACAAGATGGAAAAAATGTGCTATTCTGTATTCCTTCTACTAAAAGCTGGATTTTTAAAAAATATAAACTAATAATCTTTTAGCTAGACTAAGAAAATAAGACTAAAAATAAGAAATGAAAGCAGAGATATTACAATGGATGTCAAAGAAAGACAAAGAATCATAAAACATCATTAACAATTGTACACCAACAAACTGGATAAACCTAGAAGAAATGGATAAATTCCTAGACACATACAATCAGCCAAGACTGTCATGAAGTCCAGCACCAGCTAGTATTACTGGCAACTTCCTAAACACTAAGAGATAAGTGATACCAATTCTTCCTAAAATTTTCCACGTCGGGGGGGGCGGGTGGTGAATGAACAGGAAGGACCACTTTCACCTTATTTTACAAGGCCAAAATTACCTCAGTACTATAGCTAATTAAGTACACTGTAAGAAGAGTAGAGTACAGGCCAATATCCCTAGGACATGCAAAAATTATCAACAAAAGATTATCAAACCCAACTCAACTCCACATTAAAAGGATCATATACCATGAATGAACAGGAATTATCCCTGGGATGTAATGTTTCAATATATGCAAGTCAACAAATATGATACACCATCTATATAAAATAATAGATAAAAATCTTATGATCATAGATGCAGAAAAGCATTAAAAAAACACATTTTTATGACTAAAACAACAACAACAACAAAAACAACAACAACAACCTGGTATAGAGGAAACAAATCTCAACGTAATAAAGGCTACCTATGACAGTCTCATAGTTAACATCACACTCAAAAGTAAAAGGTTAAAAGCTTACCATCTAAAAGAAGGAATAAGGCAAGAGTGCCCACTCTTGCCACCCTTATTCAACACAGGACTGGAAGGCCTAGCCAGAACAATATGGCAAAACAAAACAAAACAAAACAAAAAAACCCAAAAACAAAGGCATCCAAATCAGAAAAGAAAAACTGTGTTTGTTTGCAAATTATATCATCCTATATAAAGAAAATACTAAAGACTCAACCAAAAAAGTGCTAGAAAAAAATTCAACAAATTCAGAAATATTGCAGGATACAAAAATCAACACAGATAAATCAGTTGCATTTCTATACACTAATAGCCAAA